TTTCTGTGTTCTGCTTTCTGGTAAGTGCTACTAGAATTGGGAAGCACATGAATATATGAAGTAGCTTTGTGTCTGCTTTCTTAGGTGGAGAGTGTATACCTGTCAAGAGCACTATGAGACAGTTCCCATCTTAAAAGTAAGAAAAGTTTGTCATGATTTTGCTTTAAGGCAAGTAGATTTCACCTAGAAGTTCATGATTGTGTTTAGTTTTTAATCTGAAAGTGAGCCAGAATAGATTTTAGGAGTTCACAGTGACTAAGTGTGAAAATAGGTGAAAGAAAATTACCTAAAATTATCTGAATTTAGAATAGATCATGGAAACAAGGAAGGCTCTGTGACTCTGAAAAGACAGTGATGTCAGATCTTGTTCCACATTAACATTTAGAAAGACTTAGGCATATATAGTGTAAACAATGTCAAAAGAATCCAGGTTGATTAGATGTCTTGTGATTTAGCAGTGATTGTGAATAATTGAAATATGACAGGCAGAGAGATGAAGTCACATGAGAAAAACACAAACCAAAAATTAACCTAGAAAACTAAAAAACAAATCTCAATGCCACAGAAACCCAACAATGCAAAGGATACAAATATAATAAGCAACACCGCCATCAAACATTTAAATGGCAAAGCAAAAATAGTTCACCTAATTTAAACCCCAGAGTTTTTCTGTTATGCATTAGAGAGGCACAGAGATGATACATATGTGCAAGAGCACTGCAGGGCACTCAGCACAATTCAGATTGACTCCTGGAGAGAGCTCTCATTTTCTGGTCAGACAACTTTCTTTTTCCAGGTCTGGTAAAAGTGTGGTCAGAAGTGCAAAGATAAGGACAGGAAAAGCAAATGTGATTTCTGCCCAGAGTTTAATATATGCCATACATTGATCTTGGCCTAGTTTTGCCACACCAAACTGCTATTTAAATTCTACTTTGATCACATAGCAGCATTGGCTGAACTGGTGGTTATCCCACTAACTTCTCTTAAATTGAGGATTCTTGAATTTTAACAGAGCCCTTCGGAGAAGCTTCTGTTTCCCTATGGCACAAACATAGATTAATATTATGTGATCTCCAGGAGAGACCACAAGGACAGCTCTTGCTGAGTGCCTCATGCCCTAGGTAGCAGTAGCAGTGAGACATTTAGGACAGGAAGGGATTCTTTGCAAGAGGCTTTAAGAGAAAACATATGCTCCTGAATCAGCTGATCCAAACCCAGGCCACTTGGCTACTCAGAGTGAGATGGCAGCAGCAAACCAGTCTGGCTCTTCCTTCATTTTAATTTGCTGAGCTCTCACCTCCCACATTCAGTCTGCACCACACTGACTGCCATCACCTCCCACCACAGGGACACAGAGCCTGAGATCTCCAAGCAAGGAACTGTCTGTCCTGGCCACTGGCAAAACCGGTTCAGATAAAGTCTGAATTCCTCCTGGAATGGCAAAGAACCATCCATGCCTATCAAAAATTATCCCAGAGCTAAAGTGACTCATTGTTATAAAATTCATCAACACCCACTTCCCTCCTCTTCACATCTTTAGGACCCTCTTACAAAATGCCAAGGAAAAAGAGTTTCTCAGTTAACAAAGTTTCCCATTCAGATTGTGGAGGATTTGGTAACAATAAGTTTTAACATAGTGTTTCCCAACAGTGATTTACATATGCATTCCTGTAGCAAACCAGATAATTTTCCATTCAAAGAAGAGCTGCCTTGCACATTCTGTTTTACAGGGACTGAACTTTTAAACTAATGTGTTTCCACCAGAGCAGAGAAAAGCAGAGTCAGGAAGACACCATTTAATGAGCACAAACCCATTACTGATACTAGTTCTCAGGAGAAATACAATAGAATAAACCTAAATTGGTGTCATTTCTTCAATGATAACAGAGCAATGCTGCTTGACACCAGCTGAGGATCTGATCCTGTTAACCTTCATTGACTCAGACATATGTTTCCCAAAGCATGTAGCTAACTGAAGAAATGAAATGTAGCTAAGACTGGAGGATGAGGATGCAGCTCTTGAAGAACAGGAGGGCAAAAGGAAACTACAGGCGGAACTTCTACCTCTCTGAAATGGCAATTCAGTGTCACTATAGAGGGTATTCTTCACACCCACAGATGTGGGTGACTCTCAGTGCTGACCTGCACCACAAACCTTTCCAAATTCTGTGGTCTTTATCACCTCCTAAGCTGAGGCAGTGGCATTCCCCAAACAGGACAGCAGCTTTGAGCCTCAGCCTCTTACTCTGCAGATGCCACTTTAACACCCCTGGGTGACACCTTTGCCATCCTGCAATAACTCATTCACTTAAGAAATAACCTTAAAGGTAATGACATGCAAGCCAAGAAGAAAGAATCTGGATATTGGGAAGACAATATCATGTAGTAACCTGTGTTTCCATTAGGTGGTTTGGGTAGAGATTTGAAAAGCTCAATGTTACAACAGGTGCCTCCAGCTTTGAAATTTTGGAATTTTAGGGGCAGAAAGGCATACAACAGACAGAAATTTCCTTTGGACTGAGGTGACATCAGCTGCCAGCTCTGCAGCCCATTCTAAATGCCAGCTTGTTAGTTATAAAGAATGAAAGTGGACTGATAAATCCTAAATCTTTCTCCAAACACATCCATAGGGCCTCTCTGCCACTGGGAAGGACCAACACAATACAAGGACCAAGCTTTCATTGTGCAAAAACTTTCTAAATCAAAAAAATATCTAATTTGTAAGTAATCATCAGGAGAAAAAAGAATTGCATTAAATAAGAGCTGAATAAAGTCAGAAAAGTGCTTTACAAAACCTTTTTATATACAGACATGTTTGCTGAGGATCGTGCAGAAGCAGCAGGACAATGAAGAGAACTGAGGAGGTCTCACAGTATTTAGCAGTCTTCCTATTATTTAACAGCCATTACTGGCAGGGGATAAAGATACCAAAACTCCTGTTTCCAGGTGTTTTAACAGAACTCACAGACTTTTAATATTTTCTTAATTGAGGACTACATATTTGCCAAGTGGGTATATCTCAGTATAACCACACAGAACATCACATACACATTAGAGCACACAAAGAAACAGGACTGCAAAGAAACACCAAGAGCACATAAGCAAATATTATCATTAATTAGTGATTGTTCTACCATGGAAGACCTTCTCTCAGTATGATTATTTAGTGTGCAAGGCATGGCTCCTTTCACACTGAACAGTTTCTTTGGTAGGTTGGATGGAGTTTTTGTTTGGTTTGTTTTGGGGTTTTTTGGTTTGTTTTTAATATTTTCTAACTCCACTGAAAGAGGGGACCGTGTAGGTGTTTTTAATAAAAGGTATGTCTCGGAACCAGGTTATCCAAGGGAATGAGGCCTTTTCTAATTTCAGCTTCAGTCTGTAAGCAAATAGCCCCAGTTTAATAAATCTGTTTTATTATGATGGGATTTCTTTTTCCTTCACAGTCTTGTTTGTGCATGAGGGAGTAACAGCAATAAAATCTCACGTTCCACCAGAACGAAATATGTTCATAATGTTAGTTAACAACCTAGAAAAATGTTTCCCTTGTTGTGAAAAGTGCACCAGTCTGCAGGGTAACCAGAGGGGGAAAAAAAAGGAAAAATACTTTTGGCAATAGCTCCCGTGCTTCCTGACAGGTTCTATCTGTTTCAAACCTTCCTGGGGTTTAATCTCTTTTCAAAACCAAAATCTGTATTCCAGCTTTTGCTATGACCTCTTGGTCATTAGGATTCCAACATTGATACCTTTTTTCTTAGAAAAAGTATCCTTCTGATTTTGAACATGAAAATCCAGACCAAGAAGGAACACTGGGATGTGGTGTTACCCATTTTGCTCCTTCTCTTGCTTCCTTATAAGTTGACCTTTAAGGGCAATTTCTTTGATCTTCTATGGGGAAATAACAAAAGGTCAATGCAACATTCCCAAGATACAGCTCCCAAAAGAATGGAAGAGGAGAATTTTGGTTTTGGTGGCATAACCTCTGGTCACAGGCAGTGAGCACCCATTCTCCCTCACACGAACTGGCTCAGCTGGAAACCCCCCCGCCCCAGGAAAGCCACATCCATGGGACATTCCCATGAGGGGCAGCTGAGGGAGGAGGTACCATAATCCATCAAAGACCCCCAAACATCCCCAGACTCTTTGCTGAGGCCTTGCAGCAGAGCACTGCTCATGATGCCAAGGGCTACAACAGAGCCAGAGCCTGCTGCAAGGGACTCTGTCAAACATGCCCCCACCAGGGCAGGTACTTTGGCCTTCCCACCCAGCCCAAATGTATATTAACCCATTGAACTCTGTGGTTTTGGGGGACCCTCACCACCAAGACCAGATGGAGAGGATCAATGGGACACCACTGGGATCCACAGAGTGGTGATTTTTCTATTTAATCTGTCTCCGTCACTCTTTCTCTCCACCCACCACTTTTTCTATTTCTTTCTCCCTCTCTCATATTTACTATACAAAATCCATACTATTAACTTTGGCATATGGTCTCATTTGCACTTTAAATTGAGCAGAGGCATTTCTAATAATTTTAATAACTAGATCATAACACCTCTCTAGTGCTGGAGGATGACTGGTAGCAAACAGGGACTCTGGATTTATTTGAAATAATGCAGAGAAACAGCATTCCCTTTGTTCTGGCAAAACAGACTTCTGCACACCTTAAAACAAAGAGGAAAATAACACGCATGTAGGCTCAGAGATAATTTGCTTCCAACAGCAATTATTGTTTCCAACAGCAATAATATATTCATAACCACACAATAATTTTCATGTAACCCTGAAAAAAAATTATCACTTGAAGGCCAGAAATAAATAGAATCACCAAAGTGTTATTCCATTTCATATATTATTCCATACTTCCTTGATAGGGAATACTGACATTTTATAGCCACTTAGAGTTGTATTTAGAGCATACACAAGTGCATCTTTGGCTGAATTCAGACACCTGCAGTTTGCATCTATGATTAAGAGAGTAATGAGTGATTCAGACTACTTACCATCCAGGGACTTCCAAATCTTACATATGGAGATGCACAACTTCATAGCATAAGGAGCATTCTGCAGTCTGACTGATACTTTACTTTTCCTCCTCCTCAAAAAAAGCAGGGGCACACCTGATGGAAACAGCAAGAAACCACCCTCTGAAATACAGCATGAAACAGCTGAAGATAGTCAGGAGGAGAATTAGTAGATTCAGGCTCTCAAATGAGGCATCAGCTGAAGAAGCTTCTTCCTTGTTAACTGCTTTTCATGTGCAAGCCTTTCCTGATTTCTACAGCTTTTGAAGCAAGATAATAGCATTACAGTCAAGGTTTTCTGGGCCCTAAACTTCACATTTAAGCTGTGTTGTTCATGTTCCAAACCTTATCAAGTTGTGAATTTGAGACTCTGTTCTCAGTTCTCTTTGCTTTTTAATGCATAAGGCATTAAAGATCACTTGCCCGGTGACTTGCAGCACACAAAGACTGAAATGATTTATTGAATTGCAAATTTAAAATTGTGATGTTTTTGAAAACCACAATGACATTTTCGTACTGGGAGAACAACTTATCTAAAAACATTACATCCACAGATGACAATTACAAAAAGTCACTATTAGAAGAACTCAAACTTTTGCCCTGTAAATGGGAATGTACTTTCACCAGACTGAAAGGAACACACAAAGAATATCAAGTATGAAAAGCACTATCTGATACTTAGGAGAAAAACATCACTGCTAAATTAGGCCAAGGTCCAAACCTCAAGAGGAAACGCCCAGCCAAGTCAGTAAGGAGTTTTTAAATTATTTTTTCCAGTATACTAATCAGGTTTGGATCAGGTCTTCAGATTCATTCACAAGGCACACAAATAGGGATTTTGGTGGTTGTTTCCATGCTGTGTGAACGGCTGCACCTCCTTCCAGAAAGCTCCGGTCTCAGCAGGAATGCCGTGTCCTGGTGGAATAGAAAGAGGGAAGGAGGAGTGTTTAATTTGATGAAATCCATTACAATTGTGGAACATATGTCTGCACTGTGCTTTCTGTGGTAAAGTTTCTTGTCAGCTGCTTTTCCCAGATGCATGGCATATGTAGGGAGAGAACTACCTGGTGGAGGGCATGGATCCATCAGGAATGTGGGGACTTGTGATGGTGCTCAAGTGTGTTCTTCAGCTCTGGCTCCAGCAAGAAGAATACTGCTCTGGGCACAGCAGCACTGCTCTCCAGGGCATATCAAAGGCATAAATATGCAAGGCAAATTCCCACTAAAAGCAGCCTTTACATTGCCCAAAATCAATGCATATGGATCCAGCATAAAATCTGAGATGGACTTTAAGATGCGACCCCTTTTTGGTTTCTTCTAATCGGAAATGGGGCCAACCTACTTTATACCAAGTCTCTGCACAGGCTCTTTTCAAAAAACTATCTCAATTGTTCCAGTTGGCTGAAAATCCAGCAAAATTTCTCTCTCTATCCCGTGAAAGAGCAGCAATGCAAGCTAAAGAATCCCACTGGCTCAAAATAGATTTCTGCATATGTTCATTTTTCTCAAAATTTTCCTAAAGCCCATCTCACAGGCAGAGATTCCTTTGGTTGTTTCTAAGAACAATTTGCTATGGCACAGTAAGCAGCCATGTTTAGGCCAGGACAGATTGTTGGCCAGTGAGTAGGTGTGGGCATGCTGAAAACCATGTTTTTCACCCATATGGCCAACAGATGGGATAGGAGAAACTTTTTCAAAAGAAACACATGTCACTTATGCTATGGCTGCTTGGAACAACAACAACAGATGATACCAGTCATTTCTCACCAGGTTCTTCATGCCCTCACAGCTTCTTCCAGATTACATTTCCATCCTCTTTTCCCTCTGCACCTATACCAAGCTACAGTTGTTCTCACACACACACAAAGGGGGCAAACAAAAGGGAAGGACAAAAGAGAGAAAGGATCGTTTTTGCATACAGCTCTGAAATTATGTGCAAAATAAAACATTGATTTCTCTAAGTTTCCACCATAAAGCACACTGTGATTCTTAGGAAGCATTTAGGTAGATGGTGAATTTGGACACACCAAGAAAAAACATTGCAAAGTAAGATGTGAATGGGGAGGTGCAATGAACCACACTCAGATGGTACTTCCAGTGAGTCATCTGGTCACTGCTGTTTAATTTTATGACCAATAAGGACAATTTTGTTTGCTTTTGGATTCGATTTTTTAGATTAAGGACAATTTTGTTAGATTGAGTTTTTTTGTTCGAGATTTGTTTGTTCTTACTCTTGAGCTCCATAGTTCTCTTTCTCTCTCTGACCCTCCCCATCAAAAAGTAATATTCTGATTTTGCCAATTTAATTCTGAAATCCAAGGCTTTCAGTTGAAATTCCCTTTTAACACATCCAGCCAAACATTCCCACTTGCAGGTTATTTAAATAATATAATTGGATCACATTTTCTCAGGCTTCTTTGGTGATTCTATCAGAAATGTGTAGGTCTCTATGGAGCTCTTATCTTTATCAGGGAGAAATAAGTCTGACTTTTCTTACTCCTTTTAGTGTAGTTGAATCTTGGAAATCAGGACTAATCTGTGATTGCTCAGCACTGCTTTCCCTTCAACAGTGATTACATGTTTTCGCAATTTTATTCCTCAAACCTGAACACTGCTGTGAGCAAGGCCCTCGTTCCCCAAGCCTTCTAGCAATAACACTACCTTCTTTGATTTATACAACATTTCTCTTACAAGATTGCTTAGAATACTTATGGTATCCTGAAATGCACCTGAATAGAGGATGCCTTCTGATTTTTTTACTTTACTTTTCCCCTCAGTTAAACTTCCAAGTCTCTTCTCTTTTCTGTATGCAGCTTTCAACATCCTTTCTTCTGAAATGTACCTGTTTTTTTCCCTTCATATTGCTGCATCTTCTTATTCTGCTGTTATCTGTATTAAGCTGCTTTCCAAACTGCAGCCATTGGAGTTAATCTAGAATTCAGTTTTTCATATGCCTGTTGCAAAATTCAATTATTCATTCCTATGTGAGCTGGGTTTTTGTTTGTTTTTTTCTTTTTTTTCTTTTTTTCATCATCTGTGACTTGAGAATTTACCTTTTAGCTGCTGACATTCAAGTCATTTACTCAGTTAATAAAACCCTAGGGAGGTCTGCACTGATCTCCACAGCATTTCATATTTTCTTTTGTTTTGGCATGCTCCCTTTCTCCATGAAGTCATTGAACAGAGGGGGAAAGAAAAATGAAAATCAAAAAGAGGAAATCAATAACTAGGTATGGTTATTTGCTTGATGTTTTCATACCATGCCCTGGTTCGCCAACAAGGAATAGGTTCAGCCAACATTAAGACCAGCATTGCTTTCCTTTATGCCGTGGCATCAGCTCTCAGTGAGCTGATCTAAGAACCTATTCACACTTTTCTAAGTTAACCTATTGCACCCTGAGTTCCCACCTCCCACTGGTACCCAGTAATTGGGATGCTGGATTCTGGCTCACCCCAGTTATGAAGGGAAGGAGATGTGCTGGAACTGAACTGAACTGACTCGCTGTGCTGAGAGCATCCTTGGGGGCTGTTACTGTGTCTCTGCTCACCTCCACAGAGGCAGTAAGTTGGTAATTTGTAATTGTGGGAAACCAGTTCCAGCTCAGACTGCACCACTGGTCTGGCATCTCCTGATAAAACTTCCTGATTTGCTTCAGCCTAAAGGAAGCAATCTTTAAATGCACAAACCCACTCAATGGCCAGTGCCACAGAAGCCTTAACAAACAATCCCATGGCAGGAACCAGAACTGTATCTCAAGGGAAAACTATCTGATCCATGTATTTAATTGAAAGTGTCTGTGCAACATGGCATTCCACATTCAAAAACCAGTTAAAGCTTTTGGATACAGATCCAGTACACCACAGAAAATAACTTGTCTTTAACTGTGTGGTATTAGTCTAAATGCAACTATGATTTAGTTTTTTCCTGACAAAACTATAACCACACTGAGTTTGCTCCATTGCTTGAAGGCAATGTGTAAGCAGGTCAACACAACCACAGTTTGTCTTACACCAAGATAACACTGCAGTGTATTGAAATACAACTGTATTTATATGTTCAGAAGCTAGGAGCAGAAAAGCAAAAATACCAGCTCCCCTTATGCATTAGTATGAATCCTGTTCAAACACAGCCAAATCCTTATGAGTCCCCTTGTACACTCCTACTACAGAAAATCATAATAAAAATATGAAAATATAAAAAACTTGTAGCATAAATTAGAAATGTTACACCAATCAAGATGGAGAAAAAAATATTTTACTGCAGTGTTTCAAAAGCTCACTTATTCTTCCCCTCCTAGAAGTTATAAATATTTCTTTTTTATTTGAACTGATGTAGCTGAATTCTAGCGAGTTGCTATTTGATAAAAAATATTCTATATCCTTCATTTCCAAAAATGTCAGTCCTGTAACCCAAATTTTTTGTTTGTGCTGTTGTCTGTTACATCTTTTGTCCTTTATTCCTCCTGGAAGGTGCAATCCCAGGCAGTCAGGGTGGGCAACAGAAGCACTCCAGTGATGCGTTGTCTCTGTGACACGTGGTACTGCTGGCTTTGGAAACTGGTGTTCCTCTACTGAAACTCACTGATGATTCAGCCATGCTCTCTTTTTTTGGCACAACATATGCTTTTTTCTGTACAGAAGATAGATAGATATATAGACTCTTCAACCATGGAGTAACATGCAAAGGTTTCCAGTCCTCCTTGTCTGCTTTCAGAACTTCTACATATGTGGCTGTGGTTTGGTAGAGAAGAGGAAAAGAAGAGGGGAAAGCTTTTGATTTCCAGAATAACTGAATTTTCTTAATATTTGTCTCAGATGCATCACAGGATCAAAAAACAGACATAAAGTGAAGGAATGAAATGTTTAGATGGGAATATAGCAAGTGTTAGATAAGCATGACAATTAATCATAGCAGGATATTAAAAAAGTTGTCAGCATAGCAATAACCACTGCATATTTATAGAAAAATTTTCATTATCAGTGATTTGGATTTAACCCTTGGCCTGGTGAAGCAAAACACCAGCTAGCAAAGATGTATCCCAGGCTTGTATTTAATGGCAAAGGTCCCTTACTGGCATGAGCAGTT